TTGCGCTTGTTGTAGCATTTGGGTTGTTAATAGCTGCTTGGTGAGCTTTGTTTTTTTCTTCTAGTAGGTTGTGAATATCTGGTGCTTGCTCGTCGAACCAGTCTCTATGCTTCCTCTTGGTGGTGCCGAGGATAGATGTTGCCGAGTCGAGAAGTATGTTGCTCACATGGTCCCAATTCTGGTTCAGACCTTCTTGTGTTGGAGGAAAGACAGGTTGATTGGGATCTGATAGACGTGTTCCTGTTTCTTTTAACTGGGTCGGAGTTGAGATTTAACCTGGAAAGCGGTGGTTGGCGCCGTGCAGGAGGACGTATACAGAGCTTCATGGTAGTTCGGACAAGGCGATGGTCAGTCCATCCATCAGCCCCTCTCATGGCTCTGGTAATCACAACATCACGCAGGTCTTTGCGCCTAACAATAGCATAGTCTAGGATATGCCATGTTTTTGATCTTGGGTGCATCCAAGTTGTCTTGAACATATCACGGAGTTGGAAGCAAGTATTAGTGATAACTAGACTATGCTGGGAACAGGTCAGCAGGCGTAGTCCATTATCATTGCATTTTCCAACCCCATGTCGTCCCATGATCCCTGCCAAAGCTGGTGATTACGACCAACTGCATTAAAATCACCTAGGAGTATGATTTTGTCATCATGGGGAATTGATTGAAATAAGGTGTGAAGCTGTGAGTAGAACCGATCTTTTGATTCTTCTTCTGCATCCAGTGTGGGAGCATAAGCACTAATCAGAGTTGCGTACCGGCTATTTGTTAATGGTATACGCCAACTCATAAGGCGTTCACTACTCCTATCGGGCTCTGTGGAATTGATGACAGCATTGATGTTTTGACAGCAAAGGCTACACCATAATTACGTTGTACTCTGGTAGGCCTTTCCAGAAGAAGGTGTAGCCTTCCCCTACTTCTGTAAGTGAACCCTCTTCAGAGAGACGGGTCTCACTTAGTGCTGCGATGTCATTCCATATCTCTTCAATTCGTGTGCAATGATGGCAGTTCGTCGATGGGGCCTTTCATTGTCTGTTAGGTCAAGTAGGGTGCGCACATTCCATGTGCCGATTGTCATTTTTTAAATTGATCTGTGTGTCGGACCGAACAAAAAGGGTTGCCACGACGAGCTACCCGCCCGTGGGAATTGGAACAGGCAATTTTTAGGTCACCTTTTATAGACCCTTCCCCTTGTGGGGTGGGCGGTGCGGATCCTAAAGAGGGCCGCCCAGACACCCGAGAGGACCTATCAGAGGCCACTGTTCCATTCCTGGCCTTCCGACGACCATCACCTCAGGGCCGCCTCTCGTGCAGGGTTGGGACTGAAGGCTGCCAGCATCAACCTATGCCTGCCCCCACCGCCCCTTCCCCATCGCCGGAGGACTTTTGTCTTATGAAGTGGGTGATGATGATAGCTATGAGATGGCTGTGAGGAATGGAGTTCAGAGATGACATGACATGGAGTGAAACTTGTGCATTGGAATTTTTAAGTGAAAAGAGGGTGCACACAACTCAGTCCACTATCTTGACAGCCCAGCAGGTGATCCAGTGGCAGGTGAAGAACATGACGACTGGACTGTTGGGTTGCTGCAGAGTGTGCCAAACCCGGTCTGTTGGGCCTTGCCTATTGCGTCGCCCCAACACAGATTTGGTCAGGTTGACTCCCCTAGCCCATGTCCAACCAAGGATATCCCATTGGGCTGTGGGTCAGGGGTTTGGTGTGGGACCAGGGCGTGTCCGCACCACTGGGGCCCCCTGATGCTCCAAGATCCTCTGCTGTTTAGCCTGGAGCCGCGAAGCACCCAGTTACCGTGTGTGGCCACGAGGAGGCACAGCAGAGGTCTTGACAATGGAGAGGCTGTGTACCGACAGGGGGAGACTTACACACTCGGCTCCCCCGTTCGCGAAGGGCTAGCCGGCGGTGGCAGCTGAAAGCGAGAGGCATGCAGCGCAGGCGACTTGTATGCTACCACACTAGACGCATCACATCGTCCTGTTGATACACACACAACACGCACGCACCACACACACATGGTATATATATATATATATATATATATATATATATATATATATAATATACATATGTGCACACACACACACACACACACGCACACACACACACACACACACACACACACACACACACACACACACACACACACACACACACACACACACACACACACACACACACACACACACACACACACACACACACACACACACACACACACACACACACACACACACACACACACACACACACACACACACACACACACACACACACACACACACACACACACACCACACACACACACACACACACACACACACACACACACACACACACACACACACACAGATACACACATACACACACGCGCCACACACACGCACACGTACACACATACGTGTTCTTTCATTTCGTGTACACATTACTGTGCTTGTGTTCTTGTCTTCTTTCATTTTCATGTGCACATAACTGTGCTTTTTTTCTTTCATTTTCGTGTACACATTACTGTGGTTATGTTCTATTTTCGTGTACACATTATTGTGCTTGTGGTCTTTTTCGTACGCATTATGGTTTATGTTCTTTCATTTTCGTGTACACGTTACTGTGGTTATGTTCTATTTTCGTGTACACATTACTGTGTCGTGTTCTTTCATTTTCGTGTGCACATTGCTGTGTCTGTTTTCGTGTGCACATTGCTCTGTGTCTGTGCTCGTGTTTATTTTACGAGTTAGTTCATGATTGGCCCGGGTTGTTTGGCGATCGGCAGCGCGGTGGTCGTAGGCGTGGCTGTGGTGGCTATTTCCGCCCTCATCTACGGCTACGTGGACGCGATGCGGCAGGTGGGAGGCGCAGAACGCGTCGGGACCTCTGGCGCGAGGCCTGGGACGCCCGCAAGGAGACGTGGCAGGCCCAGGACGACTCGAGGGCGGCGCAGGAGAAGGCCGAGCAGCTGGCGAAGAAGGTGGCAGAGTACAGGAGGAGGCGATGCAGGCGCAGGGCGAAGTGGAGAGCCTGCAGGAGAAGGTGGTTCAGGCGCAGAAGGAGGCCCTGCAGACGCGGAAGCAGTGGCGGCAGACGAAGGCGGAGGCGGCGCAGATCTTCGGGAAGGTTTCGCGAGCCAAGCTGGACCTGCAGATGCGGAGAGCGAGTGCGACCACGCGCACGACGTGGTGGACGGAGTGCTCGCCGACCTCGCGAAGCTCAGGGAGAAGCTGGACGAGTCCAAGCTAGGTAGGAGGGCCGTTTGTGTATGCGCGTGTTTGAGGATGTCTGTGTTTGTATGCGTGTCTCTTTGTTTGTGCTTGGCGTGTGTGTGCGTGCATCTGCGGTTATAACATGGAAGCACAGTCAGTGGGGCATACAGTGCTACTGCGCCAAACTGTTATGTGAGATTTACGTACCAATATATATTATTTTTAAGAAGGACAATTTTTTTATATCAGTTGTTTTGATTCTAAAAAGAATCAAAACAGCAACTCTCCCCCACTCACAGATCACTCTGCCGCCTCCTTGTCCAACGGGGCGTCGCCGGTGCTGCCCCCTGGATGGACCAAGTTCCTGGTGCTCGTGTTCCGAGTCTGCTGTACGCCTTGTGAGACGTGTCCGAGGCTTCGAAACCGACCCATGTATTGCCACAGACAAGTGCAGTCTGTTTGTGACGGTGCAGAGCTGTTATCATATCAGTGCAGTTGTATTGGGTAGAATGTAGGCTGATCTACTTCCTCAGCGCTTCAGTGCGTCTGCAGGATATCTAGATGTGATAATTACATTCTCATGTATATAAAAATAAAAACATTGCATACCCTACATATGTAAATATGAACGCAGAATATTCTATCGTATGTGTTGTATGTGGTAGAATTGACATACATATATACATATGTATATCTATGGTCACACATATCTTTGTGTTACAAAATATAATCAGAACTTGTAAATAAACGTCAGCAGATACGTCCGATATATGTTAATGTTACTGAAAGGTTGTATGACCTCGTTGTTTTATTTTCAGAATTGTTTTTTTATTATTACCAGCTTTATTATACAAAATGTGAAAGTCTAGGAAAAAATAAAGGCTTTAACACGAAATGTCTGTCTTTGACGAACACATTTATTATTTTTATCCCAGATTTCAGTTATTATATATATATATATATATATATATATATATATATATATATATATATATGTGTGTGTGTGTGTGTGTGTGTGTGTGTGTGTGTGAGTGAGTGTGTGTGATTTATATAAGGAAGGACTGATGCTTTAAGAATTATGGTCTATATTTTCCAGATTGTTTTTGCTAATGTAGATTAAAAGTTGCAACATTGTGATTGCTATAGAACTTGCAAATTTCATCGTTCCAAATACTAGACAGATATTTAGTTGTTGTTTTTTTAGTTTTTGTAGTATAAAAAAGATACAGAAACACCAGCCTTTTCCAGTTTTCTAAAGTCCCGTCAATGTTTTTTTTTTCGCCGGTTTTTCCAAAAAATGCTACATTAATATATAATTAAATACCTACTGTAGATCATAAAAAAAAAATTGTCACGAAATCCTACACAAAAAATATATTTATCATGGGGAAAGTTAACATCAATGGCATTTATTTTCTTTTTAATATAAATACTCAACCTCATTTTATATATAATGATTCACGTCGTTCTGCCCACATATTTGCTATCCTGCACTGAACCCAAAAGATTAAATCAGTTATTCGGGAATTAGTGAAATTAAGAAGGCACATGAACAAGGAAACTGCAGTATCCTAATTGTAGAATCAACTAAAACAAGTAGTTTTATGAGTGATGGTAGTTATCTGTTAATTATTATATAACTAATGCTACATACACTAAATGCTGTGTAAGTAAAAATCCACGAGTGAACTGTTGGCCAAATCGACTTAAACAGGTGAATTCTTTAACTGGGATCGACACCACAATGTATGTGTTGCTCTTTCGAGGAATCAAATAATACAGTC